CTGGAAGGCGAAGAAAACGGGGATTCGTTAGGAAGGCTTTTGGGTTTTCTGTGTGTGTGTGTGTGTGTGTGTGTGTGTGTGTGTGTGTGTGTGTGTGTGTGTGTGTGTGTGTGTGTGTGTTGTGTGGATATATATTTGATTGTTGTTTGATCATTCGTATTTCTTTGAGTATGTGCGGTTGGGCCGGCACTGATGTAATTAAAACCTGTGTGGATTAAAGCACAATCAAAATATTAAGGGTATTAGTTAGCATGTAATTACGCTCAAATTACAACAAATCACAGAAACTGGAGAATTGACAAATCGCAGAGAAAAATTCACTTATTTAAAAACCAGACAAATCAGTGATTAAGAACAGCTGAAATTGAACACGTCCGTAAATCGCCATTAAATATTGCAAATTCCGTTATAATATACAGACTTCAGAACTGACATTACCAAAAGATATATATATATATAAGACAAAGCAGACAATGAGCAGAATGCAAGCAGGGAAGGGGTGGCATTTACGAAATGAAATACAAGTGTTTTAAAGCTAAAGTAGATAAGTGAAGGAACACAGACACAGCGAAAAGATAGAAAGAAAGATAGCTATAGACAGTTAAACAAAATTAAAGAACCAGTAAAGCACAAACGCGGTACGATCAACCGAGCAAGGAGACGATCAAGCAAAAAGGTCATGAGATCAGGCAAAAAAGCAGACGATAAAGCAGAGACGATAAATCAATGCCATTATCCATTAAAGCAGACGCCAAGCAAGTAAAGTAAAGGAAAAAAAATCATGTAATCAAACAAGCAAACAAGCAGAGCAGTGCAAGCAGACCCACTCCACGCACGATGACCCTGGCGTGATTGGTACCTAAGGTCTGTGCAACAATCATGGCTTTGAATATTTCTCGAATGGCACTGCACATTGCCAGGGGTTTAGGGATGCCTCTTGAAATGGCACTCGGGGTCTCTCCCGCTCTCTCTCGCTCTCTCTCGCTCTCTCTCGCTCTCTCTCGCTCTCTTTCGCTATCTCTCGTTCTCGCTATCCTGTCTGTCTATCCGTCTATCTATCTATTTATCTTTATCTCGCTTTGTCTCTATATATATCTATCTATTTATCCCCATCTCTCTCTCTCTCTCTCTCTCTCTCTCTCTCTCTCTCTCTCTCTCTCTCTCTCTCTCTCTCTCTCTCTCTCTCTCTCTCTCTCTCTCTCTCTCTCTCTCTCTCTCTCTCTCTTCTCTCCATCCCTTTCTCTCTTTCTCTCTTTCTACTTTCATTCTCTCTCACACCCATATTCTATCGAGGTCAATCTATTTACCTGTTTGCCCTCCTCCTGCGTATTCTATCCGCAATTTTTCCTGTCAATTATGTTACTTTTTTCTTTTCACTTTAAATTTCAGGGAAATATGAAATATCTGCTTTCTTTTTTCTTATCCTTTTGTTTTGGTTTTATCGTCGTTATTAAGGCACCTAAACGAAAACACTACATTTGTACCATTTTGCATATTTATATATACTGTACATACATACATACATGCATATATACAAACCTACTTATAAATGCGTTTGTGTGTTATTCTTCTAGGGTGAAATTAATGCGACTTTTGTATAAACATTTGGTTTTATTGGTTTATTGTATTTTTGTCCGCTGGCTAAGATATCCTTCTTATTATGTTAATCTTTGAACATCTCTCTCTGTATCTCTTTATCTCTTCCCTCTCCTCCACACATGTATGTATAATATATGTATAGAATATATTATGATATATATATATATATATATATATATATATATATATATATATATATATATATATATATATATATATATATATATATATATATATATATATATATATATATATATATATATATATATATATATATATATATATATATATATATATATATATATGTATATATATATATATATATATATATATATATATATATATATATATATATATATATACATACATATGTATGTATATATATATATTATATATATTTATATTATATATATATATATATATATATATATATATATATATATATATATATATATATATATATATATATATACATATGTATGTATATATATATATATTGTATATATATATATATTTATATATATATATATATATATATATATATATATATATATATATATATATATATATATATATAAAGAGAGAGAGAGAGAGAGAGAGAGAGAGAGGGGGGGAGAGACACAGAAAGACAGACAGACTGTCTGACTGACTGACTGACAAATAGATAGACAGACATATAGAGATAGATAGAGGCAGACAGAGGGACAGAAAGACAGGCACATAGACAGACAGACAGAAAACAGACAGACACACAAACAGAGAACAGACAGGCAGACAGAAAACAGACAGACAGACAGACACACAAACAGAGAACAGACAGGCAGACAGACACACAGACAGACAGACAGAGGGGATGGTAACAAGGGGGAAGCGAGGGGAGGGGAGGCGGCCGAAAGGTTTGAAATGATTGAAATTACATTATTCTGATTTGCAATTTCTGTCCAGCGCACAAAGTTTCCGAATCTTGTATATCACAGAAAATGCATTCGCGCGCCCTGTGAAACGGAGAAAATAAAACGTATATTACCTGAACTGGATCTCCTCAATCAAGGTGCCTGACTTTCATACCGAAATGTGGAAAATACGTGTCACTTGTTCTAGGAATTACGCCCATCTACATAACGACAGGTTGCGAAAAAAGGGTTAAATAATAAATCGAATGCTTTGTGAATCGCAGGCAGAAAATTAATTGGAAAGTTGTTAATTCTGGACGCTTCTAACCTCCCTACCCTTCCCACCCTACCCCCTACCCCTTATTCGCTACCCCCTAAAAAAAAAAAGCATGAAAAAGGTCCTAACAAGGGGACAATAATTCACACTTGGCAACTGTGATGGAGATTATATACCATCTGGAGACAAAACAAATACAATTCATCTACTCTTCCTCTTGATAAAAAAAAAATCTAATCCAAAAAGCGATGAAAATTCGTCTCTCTATCCAGTAAGTCATTATATTTTCACCCTTAGAAACAGTACAGGAAAAATTGCACCAAAATGGCGGCTGTGCTTATCCAAGAGCCCCGTTAAAGCGAACACAAACAAATGGTTATGTTCTGGAGGCGCAGGGGTGGGTAGGGAGGGGGGGCGGGGGTATATAAAAGCCCAGAGGGAGCTGAAGCGGCACAGATTGTTGTGGAACAGGCACTGGCATACTGTTGCCCGAATGGGATAGAAGTCTACATGACATTCGTTCATAACCAGTTAAATGTGGTATTTATAAGTCAAGCGTGTGGTAATTAGCATGATAAACGTCGCACCTGTTAAAGAACGAATAAAATTATTTACTCGTGTGCAAAATTTATATACTCGCTATCGTTATATCTAATAACGGGGGGTCTAAATAACAAAAATAATTGTTTTAGCTACCGATACCTCTTATATTTGTAGGCCTATGACTTCCCGCAGATCCCCTCAGGCCTAAATCTGATCCCGGTGCAAGGTTTTCCCTTTCTCCAACCTCATGCATTTTTTCTCCTCCCTTTTATTTTTCTATTTTCCTTCTTCGATTTCCCTGTACGCAGCGTTCGTTCACCTTTTCTTCTCTCCCTTGCTTTATTCTCTTATTGTTACTCTCCCTTTCTTCATATCACTTTCCTCGCTTAATTCTTCAATCCCTGTTTCCTTCTCCTCGCACTTGTATTTGTTCGCTCACTCTTTTAATTTGTTGTTATCGCCTTTCTCCTCTTTATTACCACTTGCATGTGTTCACCTTATTTCACAACCCTCATTTTCTTGTTCTATCATCTCTCCCTTTTACTGCTCATCCTTATAGCCTCCCTCATTCATTCTACTCTGCACCCTTTCACCCTTCATTCCTCTTCTCTTCCTTGCTTCCTTCTCCTATCGCCTCTCCCCTCTTCACTCCCTCTCACTTACGGTCACCTCCTCATTTTCCTCCTTCTTCTCCCTTACTTTATCATCCTTACGTCTCTCACTTTTTTACTCCCTCTTACATATATTCACCCCTTCTTACCCTCCCTTCCCTACCCCCCCCTACTTTATTCTCCAATCGTTCCTCTCCCTTTTCCTAGCTCTTGCATGCATTTACCTCCTTATTTCCCTCCTCCTTTGCTTTGTTCTATTATCGCCTCTCCCCCCTTTTACTCCCTCCCCCATGTGTTTCCATCCTACATCGAAGAGAAACACTTGTAGACAGCTGCCGGACACAGATGTTTGAACAGATGGAGATGGCGACCCACACATAGATTTCTACACATGCGTTGTTGGTGTGCGAACGAAGTGGGAGAGAGACAACAGATAAAGAGGAGAAGGAAAAGAAGAGAAATTGATGATTTGACTAGATGAAGAAAGTGAGAGGGAGGTGGAAGGGGAGGATAGAAGGGAGCGAGGGAGAGGAGGAGCAAGAAAGGCAGGGAGGGAGGGAAGTGGAAGGGAGGAAGGGAGGGAGGAAGGAAGGGAGGGAGGTGTGGGGGAGAAAGAGGAAGACAGAAAAAAAAATAAGATATATTGTTGTGTTTCTGAGAGGATGGAGACGCATTTTTTCCTTTCGCCTTTCCTCCTCGTCGTCTTATATCCTATAACTATACATCTATCTCTCCTTCTTTATATCCATATCCTATCCTATTATATTATATCCTATCTGTCTCTCTGTGCGCCTATTTGTTGTTCAATCTATCTAGCTATCTACCTAGCTAGCTAGGTAAATAGCTGCCTAACTATTTATCTATCTTACTATCTGTGTCAATCTAGACACCTAAACATCTTCCCCCGGCTATTCTCTCTCTTGCTCTCTCTCTCTCTATCTATCTATCTATCTATCTGTCTGTCTTTTTACCCATCTATGTATTTATCTATTTACCCATCTTCGTCCTCTCTCTCTCTCTCTCTCTCTCTCTCTCTCTCTCTCTCTCTCTCTCTCTCTCTCTCTCTCTCTCTCTCTC